ACATGACATGGGGTTTTTATCTCCCAGTGTTTGGGTGGGGGTGGGGGTGGGAGCCGAGGCACCTGTACCCTGGGTGGCTCTGTTTGGAGGCTGAGCACTAGCTATCAGAGGAGATGGATCAAAGGGACACTTAGGGTCATTCATCTCCCCTTCAATCCCTCCGCTGGGCTACTCCCAGCTCCCAGGTGCGTCCATCTGTTTGCAAAGTAACAAATTAAAATCGCATCAGCACTTTATTGGGTGCCTAACCTGGGCGAGGCTCTGGACAGATCGAGCTGTCAAAGGGTTTTGTGGCTTCAGGTAGGAGACAGGGCTTTGCCCCAACTCCACAAATGGACGTCTCTGGCCAGAGGTCCCCTGCAGGCTCCCGTGATGCGGGGCTCCTGGGCGTGTCACAGGCTCAGAGCCACGGGCCGCGGCACTGCACAGCCTGCGGCAGCAGAGACAGGCCAGACCACGTTCCTGCCCCTCGCGGGGAGCTGGCCCGTGAGTGGACGGTCCGTGAGCGGGAACACCTCGTGCCCCAGCAGTCCGGCTAACAACTGCACCCCTCTACGCAAGCTCAAAGGCAGCCCCAGCTGGAAGGGACTCTGGCTGACATGCACATGACTGACATACCTCCCTCCCTGCAAGACTGTTCCTTAAACCATTTCAAATGGAGGCTTCTGATCTGCTTTTTTTTTTTTGGCTTGAGGAAGCTAATGCCATAACCTCCTTCATGCTCAAACACAGTTCTTGTAAAGCTTATCTTTTGTCTCGCCCCTTTAAAAAAAAATATCGAATTTGCCCGGCCGGTGTGGCGCAGTGGTTGAGCGTCGACCCAGGCACCGAGAGGTCACTAGTTCGGTTCCCGGTCAGGGCCATGCCCAGGTTGTGGGCCCGACCCCCAGTGCGGTCCTGCAGGAGGCGGCCAGTAGATGTTCTCTCTCATCAATGTTTCTGTCTCAGCAGCACTGCCCCTGGCCTTCCCCACCTTCTCTCTGCCTTACCTTTCTAGTCTCCTCCGCTGGGTCTTCCTCGTACCCCAGCCTCCAAAGGTCAGTGGCCCAGATTCTTAGCCCTCATCCCCTTTCTCTCTACACGACTCCCCAGGCGAGCTCATCCAAGCAAACAGCTCTACACACCTTCTATACGTTGCTGACTTCTCAAAATATAATTTGTCCCTGACCTCTCCCCTGACCTCAGATGGCTTCCCAGTCGCCTAACACCATCTGCACTTGGATGTCAAACAGGCATTCAAATGTCACAGTGCAACACGGTTTCCTTGACATTCCTGCCCAACACCCAGTCCTCTCCCAGTCTTCCCGCATCAGCAAACGAGGGGTCCACGCTTACGGCGGCTTGGAGCGGTCACCTGGCAACACCCCGATGTCGCTCTCACATCTCATATCCGGTATGTCAGCAGTGATGTCATTCGGGTGCCGCTCCATTCCGCCCTGGCGGCCAGGAAGCTCCCGGTAAATGTGGGTCAAGTCATGTCACCTCTCATCTTGAAGCCTCCGGGGCTTCCGGGCTCACTCCCGGTAAGAGTCTGCGTCCTCACCGTGGTCCTGCTCTCCTTCCCGGTTACCCTGAACCCCATCGCCTCCCTCTCCCCCCATTCTCTCTGTTCCCCAAATACGTCGGCCGTGCTCCTGCCTTGAGGCCTTTCCACCGGCTGCTCCCTCGGCCCACAGTGCGCTTTCCCCGAACATCTATGCGGTTTATTTCCTCACAGCCTCCAAGTCTTCATTCAGATGTCCCTTCTCGGTGAGGCACTTCTGGCCATCCCTCTAAATCAATCTCTCCGCACCCCAGTCCCTCCTGGTACCTCTCCTCTCTCCATGGACGTACCCCGCTGCCACACTGTTTCATCGCTGTCTGTCTCCCCACTGGGAGACACGCTCCACGCGGGCAGGCTTTAGGAATGACTCTGCTCATCACCGTGTCCCTGCACCTGAGACAGCCTGGCACCCAGCCGACCTTTAGCGGATGGGTGGGTGGAAGCATGAACTGGAACACATTTCTGTGTGTAACTCACCAGCCGCACCGTTTGCTCCAATTACGTAGAGAAGCACCTCCTCGGGTGCCCTTTCTCCCCGACTGCCCTTTGGTCCCTCGGTGGTTTTGTAGCTTCCCCTCGGGAACGGGAAGGGCCGGCTCCTGCAGGTGTGCTCACCACCCCGTAATGAGGTGTCACCGCTGACCTGTGCTGCAGCCGCCTCTGCTCGCCAGGGCCCGGCCCCTGGCGTCTCCCAGTGCCGACCGGCCTTCTGCCCAGGGGGGAGTGGGAGTTGCCAGAGCCACTGAAGAAGAGGGATGATGCCTTTTCTCTTAAAAGACGACTTACTGTTTGAGCTGAAAAGAACTGGCAGATAGTGTAATCTTTCTAGCAATTTCAAAGGCTGAGATACGGCTTTCATTGAAATGCACACCTAGTTTATAGCAGCGTTTTTCCCCTTGTATTGGTTTCAAAGGGCAGACGATGACCTTCTGAAGACGAGAATATAGTTTCTGAGCCACAGGTTGCCTTTGCTGCACGTCCATTAGGTTGCAATTCCCTATTGATTTCACCCCACCAACTGCTTGACTGGGCTTCCCCAACAGACACAGACCTTCGGACTGTCTCCTGGCCCCATGGTTACGTCTCTCGCCTTCACGTCATTGCATGGGTCAATTTACTTGATTTCTTGCCTTTTTACAAACTCGGCCTCTCGCCCCACCCCCGCAGAACTGTCCCACCACCACCTTCCTCGACGGCAGGCGCAGGCTCCCGTTCTGTTCTCCTGGGACGGGCTGGCTGAGGCTCCTCCAGCCGCCGGGAAAGAGCACCAGGTGGGAGGAACAGTCCCCAGAGTCTGACTGCATCCCTGCTCGGACTTCTGCACAACTTGGCAGAGGCTCTGTCCGCTGGGGCTGGCAGTTCATCACGTGTCCCAGAGCGGGGCCCGACCTCCGTGGACAGGCCCTGTGCACGCGACTTCCCCATGCTGGGGGCTGCCCGCGATTCATCCATTTAATGGCCAGGACGGGGAGGCCGCCCCTTCCCCTCGGAAGCTCCTGCTTTAGGAGGAGAACAGAACAGCTACGTGTGTCTGTGTGTCTGAGGACAACAACTGACCGCTAAGCAAGTGGTGGGTCTGCATATTTTTATCCTCTGCCCGGAACCTGCTCATCAGCACTGATCATGACCTTGGGCTCCTGGGGGGGGGGGGGGGCCGAGATGTCGGTTTCCGTGTTTCCGAGGCGAGCGTCTCGGTGGTACTGATTTACCGAGCTCCGTGCCACAGACACACGACTGCGCCCAGCCCCGTCGGCAGGGTGACGGGCTCCGCGGCCCCTCCCAGGAGGCCCCTCAGTGGCGTCACTGCTCACGGTTACGGTCCATCGAAGGCCTTTCTTCCAGCCTGCCAGAGGGCTCAGCAGGGCGGGAGGCTCCTTAGGTTATTCGGTATGTCGTTCCCAGTCCCTGTTGTTCGTGTGTTTTAATTTCGTATCTGCCCCTTGAGCAGTGATCAGAAAGGGAGCCGTCGGTGGAGAGATTCTGTCAGTCTGCACGGTGAGGGGGCCGGGATTCTGTTCTCGAACACCTTAGGCTGTCTGCTTCCCTGCCTCCTCCGCCCGCTCCTCTCTAGACTCCCAGTCAGAACCGGACACAGCGAGCAGAAACACAGGATTCAGTCGGGAGTGGGAACACGTGGACATGAGCCGTGCCTACTCACAAGGTCGGGAAACCACCCCCACTGTATTTCCACGCATGTGCTGGGACAAACAGGCACACGCGCGGCACACGCAGGGGTTTCAGAGCTGATGGGAAGACCACGCTTTTCCCGGGGCCTCCCTGGCCTCCTGGGGGGACAGGCATCCATCAGCAAGGACGTCCTGCCTCCCTCCGTCGGCTCCCTGGGCCTCGGTGGGTCTGGTCCTCTCCTCCCGCTCAGGGAACCTCTGGCTTCCCACCATCCCTGCCTGTCTGCATACTGCACCCCCCTTGGTTGGCTGTTTAACCTGCCTGGCTCCTGACGATCCTAGATGCTCAAGGTTCAGGAACATGCTTTGAAGTTATGCTGTTTGAGGACAGAAATGTACCTATTCAAACGTCGGAATGAAAGAGAAGGACTGCACACAGAAGGAGGAAAGCGTGTGGTCGTCACAGAGGTGGGGTCGGATGGAGCAGTAGTTAGAGCTGCTACCCAGTGGTTCTCAGTTATCCGGCCGCAGTCACCTGCGGGCTGCTCCATCCGACTGCTGGGCTCCACCCCAGTCTCTGGGCCGGCAGATCCGAGGGACGGCCAAGGACGTGCACTTCTAGCCACTTCCCAGTGCTGCTGGGCTGCTGGGCTGCTGGGGCTGGTCCAGGGACCACTCTTGGAGAACCGCTGGGCTTACCTGCCGGGAGCCTGAATTCCCGTGATTCATCGCCTTTCCCACACCTGCAGGTCAGTCTCATCTCTGTCCCAGCACCAGCCCCGCCACCAGTCTGGCCCACGCAATCCCGGAGGAAGGGGTCTGGCTCAGTTGCTATAGCCTAACTGTCAAATGCCTCTGGGCTTCCTCAGTTTCCCATTCAGTACCGTGGATCTAACCCCCTTAAGAGAAGCCTCTGGTTCCCTTTCCTATGAGAAAGCAGCACAATGGTGCATGGCAGTCCGCTGCGGGGCGAGCGTCCTGCTTCCCAGGGAGCTGCGTGGTGGACGTCCTTCTTCCGAACAAGCCCAGAGCAGACAGCCTGCCCCTCTGCCCGAAGAGGAGGAGCCCGGAGGAGGGGGTCTAATTTAAAAATAATGAGTGCACCTTCGCAAAACCTCAACTGTCTTTAAGATCAAAGATTCTAAAAGGAATATGAGGCTTTATGGCTCGACAGCAATTATTGCATAACTTCTAAGAGTACTAACGATTGCAAACAATGAGACCAATGTGGTTCCAGGAGCACAGCTCTCAGAAGGTTGGTGGGGACAGTTTCCTCGCCACCATCTCTTCCCTCTCCCCGAACCCAGCCAAGACAGAGGACGGCTGCTCACTGTTTCGGGGTTTCTCCTCGTCCATGCCTTCGTCCTCGTTCTCGGGGTCGATGTCTTCCGCCTGGGTGATCCAGTCCAGGTAGCCTTTCAAGTCCTCTTCCAGCTGCTGCTTCTCTCGCAGCTTTTGGAAATCTCCCCGAGCCTTGGCCTTCTCCCTCTCTTTGGAGAACTCTCTGGAGAGAGAGTGGAGGGGCAGGGCAGGGGCGCATGGAAGGAAGGAGCGGGCGGGCGTGAAGGAGGGATGGAGAGAAGGGGAAACCAGTGTGAGTGGCTTTGCACGAGGAAGCCCACCCACTTCCCCTACTTCCACACACAGCTCTCCCTAGTCATCCCAGGTCTGGCCTTTGCTCTCACATAAATGGAAGGAGCCCCGAAGGGAGGGGTAAAATCCATTTCCCTTTCTCCTGGATCATGATAACGGGCTTTGCCTTCGACAACTGTTCTCCAGTGACCTGGAAACTCCTTCTGAACAGTGACCAAAGAAACCTCCACGGAGTAGGGGACATGCATTCGCATTTCCCCCAGAGCTGGGCGGCAGGAGGAAAATCTCAAGAGCCTCCGAGTGACAAAGGTGTCGGGGCAGCGGTGGGCGGGGGCCGCTCAGCTGCCGTGGCTCCGAGCACAGCTCCGCCCAGTGCTGGCTTCAGCGCCGTCTCCGTGGTGGCTTGGAATTGACCGAGGTGGGAATATTTACACCACGGAAATTGGCCACTGTTGTAAACCAGGGCTTTCTCTCCCAAAGGGCCAATTGTTGATTAGTTACCAGCAGACCACTGATTCGAGATCCCGGGAATTGACTCTCCTCCTTCTCTATTCTCATGACTAGGGCCCATCCCACTGCTCTTAGCTGCCTGGAGGATCTCCAATCCAGAGAAAGCTCTTTCCCACATGGGGACGATGAGGGTTCCAAACACAAGAAAATGTCCTGGGGGTTGACTTTTTGGTTAAAAGAGAAATGTAATCAGACTGGGGGGGGGAGACTATAAAATCAGATGATATAAAAATTAAACGATGCATTCAGTTTAAAATAATAATGAGTAGGAATTGGAATTGAATTGGGGTTTGCTGGAAGAAGGGCCTAGGGAAACATTTGACAGAATGGCTACTTCTTTTCCATTTTCTGTGATTCTGTCCTCCTTTGCTCTCTGACTTCGAATTCACTTTCTGAGCAAGGCGGGCTGGCCGCAGGCGGTGGTCATCACGGCTAGTTCTTAACTTGCCGAGCAGGTCTGTGCCTTTTCTTCCCCAGTCGTACGCAGAGCAGTTCTGTGTTTGAGAGTGTGTGTGTGTGTGTGTGTGTGTGTGTGATGCACTGGGCATCTTGTCTAATCCTTAGAAACATGATTCCTCCTTCTCTCACCCGTAGAAGTGTAGTTCAGGGCAAGAGGCTGCAGAAACCACCCTGAAAGAACTTCATCAGAAGCCAAACACTCTGCAGGAGAGCAGCCTGGAAGGAAGGGCGCACCCGCAGACCACAGGGAACGGAGGCTGGGCCCCGAATGCACTCGGTGAGGTTGGCGGCTCTCTCCCCACACCCACTGTCTGGAGCCTGCGTTTTGCTCCTGCCACTAAGGAGAGCACAGACCTGAGCACTCACCACTTGGCCGGAGAAGGGGTTGGGGCTGGGAGGGGCCGGGGAGACTTGTTACACTGGGAGGTGGGGGCCTCTGAAGCCAACGGGTTCCCTTCCACGGCTGCCTTGATGATGCTCCGGTTTGGATGGAATTTTCTTCTTAAATTTGATGGAATCCAATTCTAATTGGATTGAACTTGCTTTTCCTTGGGCTTCCTGCCAACTGGCGGGTCCCCTCATTTCCTTCTCAGGGAGTTCAATGCCAGGGAAAAGGGGCCAGATGAACAGCTTGCAGTGGAGACCGAGGCCTTGCTGTGCTCTGTGCCTCCCTCCCCTTGTTCCCGGGGCGGGCACTGAAGATGCCAGCCCATCTTCCCCAAACTTCTTCCCCTGGCCACACTGCCCGAGGCCCTGGGCTTGCTCTCTGGGGACCGTCCCTTCATAGCGCCCCTCCCCGTGCGAACCAACCCCAGAGTCGCACTTCCAGGCACCCCTCTCGACTCGTGCTGTCCCCACTTACGGGCTTTCTCCAACCCTCCCCGTGCAGTGGGTCTGGGTTGCGAGGTAACTGAGTAGCTGAGGGTTTACTTTGGCTCTTTTGGAATATTTTGCAGAGGGTTCGAGTTCTAGTTACAAAGCAACGACCCCTCCTTCTTCTGGAGTTGGGAGGATAGGCGTGGGGTCCAACTGGAGTAGGGACAGCTGGCCCAGTCCTGTTATGGCATCTGTCCTGTGGAACAAAAACTCACCATCTGTACCCCAAGACCTCTGGGGACCCAAACTAAACATCAAACACCCCCTGGGAGGAAAGAAAACGGAGGTGTGTTGGGGGCATGAGGGGATGAAAAGGCCCCAAATCTGAAGGCTGTGGCTCCCCAGGGCTCCCAGGGAGCATGGGGTGCAACCAGACGGCAGCAGATGAAAGATGGGCCAGTCTCCCTGTTCAGACCTCGTGCACAGAGGGCTTTCTGGGTGGCAGTGCCTGCTTCTCTTCATCTCCTCGCCTGGATGCCAGCCATGCACCTGCTCTGGGGACCGAGCTAATGAAGACATGAAGCCCCAGCCTGATGGGCTGTGCTGGGCCCAGGGACCGGAGCCGGCGAGACAATCAGTCACAGCCGTGGGATTTGTCATAGGCAGAAGCACATCTCTGGCCAGCAAGGGCCAACATGAAAAATGAGGTCCATGTGGACAATTCAATCCATACGGATGCTGGTGCTCTAGGCCCTCTGCAATCAATACAGTCGATTCTCATTATTCAGATTCTGTATTTGCGAATTTGCCTACTCGCTGAAATTTGTTTGTAACCCCAGGGTGATGACCGCGTGCCTTTGAAGTCACCTGCAGACACTGCAGAATGGCGAACGCTGGAGTCCTGTCCCAGCTGAGGTCAGACGAGGTGAACCTCCGCCTTCTTGGTTCAGCTCAGACTGTGAACAAAGGTGCTTCTGATGATCTGTTTCGTGCCCCATTTTTGGCACTTTTGTGTTTTTCTTGGTGACTTTGCTGTTTAAAAAGGTCTCCAAGCATAGGGCTGAAGCGCTGTCTAGGGTCCTACGTGTAAGAAGACTGTGATGTGCCCCATGGAGAAAACACGTGTTAGGTGGGCTTCATCCAGGCGTGAGCTACTGGCCGTAGGTTGATGATAATGGATCAACAAAATGTATTAAATAAATGGTATTTAAACAGAAACACAAGATACATGGTTATGTACGGATCACTTGATAAAAAAAATGTGACCAGAGACTCAGGAACCCAGCCCTGGGTTTCTCCTGAGAACAGGGCTACAGGATTTGATACCCAGCACTTGTGGGGACTTCGCAGAATAATGAGAATCGACTGCCTCCGCTGCTGTCTCTTCTGCCTGCACTCACAAGGCATGTGTGCCCTGGGCTTCCTGCTTCCCTCCGGACCGGGACGTTTCGCCGCGGTCCAGCTATGCCTTCCGGTTGTAAAACGCCTGCCCACCAGGCCCTCTGGTCTCCCGGGAGAGAGACGTGCCCATCTCCCAAGGGAGGGAAGGCCTGCACGCCTGCCCATCTGGAGGCACGAGGCCCGTCAATGGAAGGCCCGTGTCTGAAGCCCGTGCTCACAATCTCTTAAAAATGGGCAGTAACTGGATTCCAGAGTCCAGGGACTTTCAACTGGTTACAGCTCCCAGTGTGATTTCGAGAGTCCCATCATCATTAAAAACATGTTTTAATTCCAGTAGGCTGGAGGCTGAGATTTCTGAAGGGGGGATGTAACCTGATTTGTATCTCTGTAACACCAGGCCAGTGGCTGCTGAGGATCAATAGATAATGGGCGCACTTTGAAAACAACCCACGAGCTGTCTGTTCCTCACAGTGACTCCATCTGCCTTGTCAGGAATGGGGTGTTCTGGAAACGGAGTACTGCAGACCAAGGACGCCTGAAGGACCCTCTGGGGACCACGGTGTCTGATCTCCACCTTTTAAATGGAAGCTTCATGGAGTGTCATCTCCCCTACCTTCATGAGCAGCAAGCTCCCAGCACAGTGCCACCTTTTCTTGGTGACTGGGGAACACAATGTGAGCATGTACTGTAAAATATCAGTTTTAATTGATAGCTGTAGGTTTCGTGCCCCTAGTCCCAGAATGCTTTTACAGAGCTGCCGAGTTGGTGGGCTGTTCTCTCTGAAGGATTATTAAGATTTGCTGGGCTGCCTGGCCGGTGTGGCTCAGTGGTTGAGCGTCGACCCATGAACCAAGAGGTCGCCTGTTTGATTCCCGGTCAGGGCACAAGCCCAGGTTGTGGGCCTGATCCTAGTGGGGCGCATGCAGGAGGCGACCAATCGATGTTCTCTCTCATTGATGTTTCTATCTCTCTCTCCCCTTTCCTTCCCCTCTCTCTAAAAAAATCAATAAAGAAAAAAAAAAAAAGATTTGCTGGGCTGCCAGTCCTGTGCTCAACCGCCCTGCCCTGCTGGGCCTTCCTGTGGTGGCTTCGCACCTGCCCGCCCCCCGCCCGGGACTCTTCCTGCTCCCGCGGGCTGTTTCCGAGAGCCCCGGGGACCAGGGCTGCTGCCTACTCTCACCCCTCCTCATGCATCTCCCTCCTTCCTGACTGCGATTTCAGGACACAGGATTCACCAAATTCCAGGGGGCAGTGTAACCTGGAGGTCAGGCCTGGAGGTTATGGGCTCACACTGCTTGGGGTTAACCCTGGACCCTCTGTCTCTCACCTGCTAGAAGTGAGGTAGGCTCTGCATGTAAACCTCACTTTTCTTCTCCATGATGTGAGACATGAGTGGCCCTGGCTCAGGGCTGCAGCAGGGGCTGACCACCCGGCAGAGGGCGCGGCTCTGCCCTGCATCACTGCCGCCGTGCAGCCAGGGGCTCGGACTTCTCTGAATGCACCCGAAAGGTTGTCTTAACCAGGAGCCTGGCTGACGAACAGGTGGGGGGTTTGCCGCCTTCTTGTGGTTCTGCCGAATCAAGATGCTGACTCCAAACCCAAACTGCTGCGACCAGGTAGTCAGCCAGCAGGAGCCTGAGTCCAGGTTTTGTCACTTCAAGGACTCAGGGCGGCCTATTTATGTCGGCCGGCCCTCTTGACGGAGGAGAAGGGACCCTTACCAGGAAGGGAAGATGCTCGCCCACGGACAAGTCTTTGTCCGGGCAGAGGGTGTGCCCAGGGGCCAGGAAGCCTTGGGAGAGGCTCTGTCCGCCATTCTGGGCAGCAGGCTGCTGTCCTGGGAACGGGTCAGGGCGCAGGTGCTGGGGAAGGTGTCCAGGAGACCAGTGTGCAGACTCAAGGGCACATTGGAGCCGAGGTCTGAAGGCCTGGGGGTCCTGTTTAGAGTGTGCACAGTTTATTTCTACTTGCCAGGCTCTGGGTACTGTTTTCACACACCCCTCTCACTGGGACCGGGTCAGGCCGGGACTTGATCTCCAAACGGCTGTTCCCTCACGTCAGCAAGGAAGACGACTCCTTGTGCGGCCAAGGATTATGGGCAGATTCTCCGCTTGAGAAGGGGCCTGCATAGCCCATCCCGGGGGACAGACGGGGCATTTCACTCAGCCGTGTGTCTAATCTCTGGGGCAAGAAAATGGAATCAGTAGACCATCTCCCAAAGGTTCAGAGCTCTGGCTTGTGTTATGGTTCAAGTTCAGTCCACACATGTCCATGAAGAACGCTGGGCTGATGGAGTCTCGTTCTGCTATTTACCAGCAAAGTGACATCATGTATGTCACTTCACACCTGTGGGCTCACTTTCCTCGTCTTTGAAAGAAAGGGTTGGGGCGGTTCAACCTTGTGACGATTCTATTCACTAGTTCGGGTTATCCTAGGGATCGAGTAAACAAGGATCCTTGTCATGACAGCTCCATTATGGAGCACTTACTGTAAGGATCTCACACAAACGATCTTATTCTAGCATCCCGGTGACCATTGTTGTCGGGATGTTTTCGGAGGGGTTACTACTGTTTAAAGAGAAGGAGCTCCACATGACGCCTCCAGCAGGTGCCGAGCTGGGGCACCTCACTGTCTGTCTTCAGCAGCGGGGTGATGAGGCTGATTTTTTTCAGTGCTTTCCTTGGTGATTTATATAGAAACAGAGGGACATTTTCTCGTGTTGGAACACAAATATGAAAGCCTTTCCACCTCCAGGCAGCTAATCGGCGCTCACGTGTCTCCGTCACTCTGCCCCGAGGGAAGACACTGGTTCCCTGGGTGGCCTTACCTTGGCTGAAAGCATGATGCTGTCAGAGTCTCTAACAAGCGGCCCACCACGGGGAAGGATGAGGGTAGAAGCAGAACCCTTCGTCCCCCAGTTCCTGAGACTACAGGCGGTGCCCCTGCACTGCGCTGGGCCACGGCAGGGTGGGGGCCCTTCCCCGGGGATCACTGAGGAAAAGTGAAGCTTGACCCTTCTCCCTGTGCCTGACTCTGCCCAGCACCGCTGTCCCTGGACATCTGCGACCGGCTATTCCAAGCAGCTGACTGTCTCGAGCAGAGCGGAAATAGATTGCACCCCTCCCCTCGTAGCCAAGGCAGCGGAGCGTGTCCCCCATGAGCAGGTCACCAGGAGCATTTAGGTGTTAGGCCTTGGCACGGCTGGTGTGGGCTTGTGAAGGGGAAAGTGGGCTGGGGGAACCCCGCGAGTCCCCCGGCAAAGGCAGCCATCCCTGGGGCTCCCCGATTCCCTGACCTCTGTGGCTTCCACCACTTTTTAGCTTCCCCTGAGCAAAGGCCCAAATCAGGCAAGTTCTATACGTGGAGCCAGGTAGACCAGCTGACGGGAGAGTGTACTGCTGCCTCCCGGTGCTCAGATAACCCCGGGCTTTGAACAGCCAGGTGCCCTTTCTGTTCGGAAAAGGGAATGCCACACGTGAGCTGCTCAGTCTATGAATTAGAACCAAAGATAATCATATGTTTGGTCTGTCTTTGTTTATTTATATCTTCAAGCAAACGCTGATGACCCTGGTTCAACACTGGATAAGGGCTCTGCGACTCCACTGGGCGCCCGGCACACGCCGCGCCCGGCTCCTGGGTCAGCGAGAAGCCGTCTGCGGGACCGCGGCGTGAGTTAAAGGCACGCAGTCTGTGAACAGCCCCTCGATTCCAGCGTCCACAGCCTTCCCCGCCCGGGGCGCCGCCGTGCTGCTCCTCGGGTACAAGGAGAAGCACCTGTCCCCTGAGCAGCTGCTTGAGGGACGGAGGGGCTTGGATGAGCCGGCAGGAGACAGGCAGGCCCCCCGATCTCTGGGTGAGACCTAAACCAAGGGACTGATCCTTGCACATTTGACCCCTCTGCCCAGCCAGGCCAAGGACATTCACTTCAAGGCTCCTGAGGTGGCCCCTTATCCCAGGTTCATCAGAGCCAGGAAAAGAATAAAGCCAGGAGTAGCAGAAAGAGTAAATAAAATGGAAAAATCAAGACCTTTTTCCTTGGTCCTGCTTACCCGCTAAGGACACCGAGAACCAAGTTAAGTACAAAAAATGACCCTATGATGATTAGTGTAACAAAATAGATCCAGGGCCAGTCCCTTCCTACGGCATCATTGACCTGGAAGAACGGAGTGATAGTTAGTGGGGCGCACGCGGCAGCCGAGCACGACCCAGCACCCCTCACGGGCTGCAGACGCCGACCCACGCAGCGCCAGGACCCGACCCCCTCGGTGCCAATCGGAGGCCAAATAGCCTACCAGCCAATGCGTCAGAATTTGTGGCTGAATGGAGACCTTTACCCCTGGTTTTCCGGGGCCTCTCAGGGCCCCATCCCTGAGGATCCTGGCGATGGACAGAGTGGAACCTGGGACCTTGCTCGGCTGCATTGTAAGGAGGACACAGAAATGGTCAGCTTACCCGCTCAACACACCGAGAACCAGATTTAGAACGAAAAAGGATCCAAAGATGACCAGACTGACAAAATACACCCAGGGTAACTCATAGCCCATAGCGTCCTGCATCTGGAAAGACGAAGGAGAGTTAGGAAAGAGAGAAGGCAGAGCGGAGTCGAGCGAGGAGGCAGGCAGAGAGGGAGTGGAGAGAGTCCAGAGGAGCCGAACCTGGTCCTGGTCTACGTGGCCCCTGGTCCCCTGCTAGCCCTGCATCACCTACGTTCAGAACACGTATGACCGCGACCTGAACGGTCAGGGACTCGTGCAGGCTCTGCCTTAAGGGAGATCCTGTCTGGCTCCCTCTGTTGTTTTATTTTCTGGAACAAAGAGAAATATGTCACCAATGTTTCCTTTTTACTTGTCTAGGACGGTGGGTTGCCTCACAGAGTAATTTCTCCAGTCAGGAATGTTTTTGGCTCACTCGGGTTCACGTGGCATCAAGCCTTCCACTGCCCCCGAGCTCGGTGTTGGAAGTGCCTCGGCTCTCGCTGCCACAGCCAGAGATCCGGGACCTTCGGGGATGGGGGGAGGAGGCCTTCCCGAGGGGCCTGCCACCTGGACCTGAGCGGGGCCCAGAACCGAGGTGAAGCTCCAGGGCTTCACAAACACTACAGCTGAGACGGTGGTTTGGGTTTATGAATTCAGAGAACGGTTCCTGCGACCAACCCCAGCCCAGGTGGAAACAGTCCTTCACCTGGGAACTGACCTGCCACTACCTGGATGAGGAGACCCTCGTGGAAGGCGGAAGCCCTCGAGTGGCTGGAGGCAGTGGTGTGCAGGGCCACCGAGCAGCTCCTTGCTCAGCGACCTCACGGGGCTGGCCTGAAACCGGCCGTGGTGGACAGAAATGGGCAAGTGGTACAGGCCCGTCCGTCTCCACCCCTTGGTCGCTAGCAACGGGCGTTAACACATTCACTAGCACATCGCAGGCTATCGGGTAGACATGAAGATGAGGTCGGTCACAGGGCAGCATTGTTATCGGAGGCAATTTTACAGGAATCCAAATTCCCACGGACACAAGCTTCCTACACGATTTACATCCGTGGTTTTCAGGGGGGACCTGCGGGCCAGCAGCAGCAACTTCCGCTGGAACGTGCTTCGAAAGGCACACGCTTGGGCCCCACCCTGAAGTGGGGGGTGGGCCCGACAACCCATGTATGTCAAGCCCTCCAGGTGAGTCTGATGCATGTAAAAGCTTGAGAAACCCCGTGATGCACATCATTCTCTCCATAGCTCCCAAATGCAAACCTGAGGACAGGGCGGGTCCTGCGATTGGCTGCGTACCTCTGCCATGCTGCCCAGCCGTGGGCCTCCACTGGGCCCGAAGACCTGCAGCATCAGAGCCAGTGGAGAGACGTGAACAAAGAGGGTTCCTGCGCCCTCCCCGAGACTCAGCGAGCCTCCCAGCCCTGCATGTTGAACACTCAGGTGACTCTAAAGCAGGCTGAAGTGTGTGACTACTGCCAGGTGTCTGCAGTGAGCCCCAGATGTGCAAGGACCCTGCTGTCCTCAGCCCCCAGGGCCCCTCAGGCTCTGGGAAACCGGACCCATTTCCTAACTATGCTGGACAGATAGATCCTTTGCATGCTGGGAATACAAAAGATTGACAAGTACAAGTGACCTTCCTAATCGGATTGGCTTGAAGTGTTACATGCCAATACATTCTTTGCAGATCTATCAATATTTATCTGGGGGTCACCACATTTTGGTTAGAGGAAGCTACCAAATATAGTCATGGTGCAAAGTCCAAAAGTCATGCCAAGGTCTTGGGGGGTCATTTGCTAAACTGAGTCAGGGAGGAGGAGAACCCCACCCATGTCCACTGAACCACGTCAAACGTCATTCCCTTCAACGTGGGCTCAGTGGTCGCGCCCACTCCCACACACCTGCTGCTTTTACAAGTGCTTCTCCCTTCCTAACTTGTCATCGACTTGTTTATCATGGGCTTGTCTTCCCTGCTGGGATGTAAGCTCCATGAAGATGGGCAGTTTGGGTCTGTCTGCTCACTGGTGTGTCCCCAGGGCCTAGGACAAGGTCTTGCACGTGGCAGGTGCTCAGTACACTTGTGGAGTGAACGAAAGAACTTGACATGTGCCGGGCACTGTGCTGTAGAGGGAGCCTGTGCTTGAAGGGGGAACAGAGAAGTAAAAGGCAACCCCAGCGCAAGGTGGTGAATGCGGCTGTAGAAGTAAACACGCAGGGTGACAGAAGCCCGGAGGCCGGAGAGGCTGGATGAGGCAGGAAGCCGGCAGGTCCCGGCCAGGCCGGACAAGGACAAGGGAGGCAGGCGGAGAGAGGAAGCCTGGAGGCCTGCGATCCTGTGAGGGACCGGCTTTCCTAGGAGCCTGGCAATTGTTAAAAACGAGAGCCCACAGCTGTAGCGCCGTCCTGGCTCCGGGACAGAGGCTCTGCCCGGTGGCTGGGCACGAGCATCCAACACAACAGCCGCAGTGAGGAGGACAGGGCCGAGCGGCCCACGTGTGTCCGAGCCTGGGAGCCGCCGCCGAGCGGCAGGCAAGAATCTGAGCCAGGGGCAGAGGGACTCACCGCAGCAGAGGGGAGTCCGGGAAGCGTCTTCAGTGCCGGGAGGAGGAAAGCAACACGGCACTACTACGGGAAGTGGCAGGATGGGTGGAGAGACTGGGAGGGAGAGGAGCGTGGGAGCCGCAGCGAGCGAGTGGACCACGGGCCACGTAACAGTGGCAGTGATGGGCATGTGATACCAGGGTGGGTCACATTTATTATGGGGTGCTGTGACATAATCTTTCGGTGTTGTTCAAGTCCTGGTTTGTTCGACAAGTATTTACTGAGTGCCCACCACGTGAGAGACATTGTGTTCTGGGCCACAGCGAGGGCCACGGGGCTGGGAGCAGCCCTGATAGAGAGGAGGATCCTGTGGGAGCCCAGGCCCGAGCGCAGGGGAAGCCTCCCGTGTCTTTCTGCCTCAGGCAAGTCCTGCCATGCAGGTCGGAGGAGGTGCCTTCCTTGTCCTTGGGTTAGTGCTTCCTTCTCTTTCGGGAGGGAGGGGAGGTCAGGACAAGCTGAAGAAGACGGGACTCCCACCAGAGAAAAGGTACATACACACAGCACACTGAGCACGGTCTCGCGGGGGGTCTGCAGCCCATTGGGCTGACCAGCCAGCTTGTCCTGTGCTAGCCCCAGGGAAGCGCTCCCCAAACATGGGTAGGGGATCAAGGGGTCCGTTCTGAAGACGTTGCCCTGCTCCACCTGACCCTCAGCTCCCTCAGGACAGGACAGCTGGGAGCAGGCAGTCCCAGGAGGCAACGGCGTGCGCCCCGCTGGGCCCTTACAGAAAGTGTGGTCCCCCAGGCCCCACTGCTAGGACACGTCCACACCCACGAGCCGCGGGGATCTCCTGGGGCCCTGGTTCAGTTGGGGTGTCCTGTCCTCCGTGCCACACTCATGGAGAACCTCACAGAGTGGAGCTCAGACCACAGCACCCACAGACATCGCACAGAGAGCCTCAGGCCCCGGGACACCCCCAGCAGGGCCGTGTCCGGGAGACTCCTGGTCTCCACCCCGCCCTGTGGTCCTGTGTTTCTGCTTCGGTTTCATCCTCGGCTGTGGGATAGTTCTTTCAGAGGTTCAAGATGGGGAACAGCAGGTGAGGGGTAGGAGGTAGGAGGGCAAACTAGAGATTAACGAGCTTCCAAGGTGGTCCTAGGAGCCCATCAGTCCTTCAGTGAGCAATGCTCAGCAGCCACCAGAGGGGGCGCCCCGGTCTGCCTGGCTCTGGCCAGAGAGGCGGAGAGCCCCTTTCGATGGCCCTCTTACGTTCTCTTCTTTATTCTAGGCCACCTGCTTTTGGGGGCAGACTGGGTGGACACTCTCAATGCGGGTGACAAGTAGGACAGCGCTTGGCGATGAGACTGTTGTCTTAGAGCAGCTATTTAAAACGGAGCTATTAAGAAGAGAAAGGATAAATACAGTCCTGTTTTCAAAAAATGACCCAGCTGGCTGACACCCTGATTTAGAGGTCCTCTCTAGCCTTGAAGGCCAGTTGCCTCTTAGGCCTGTAACAAAAGCAGCTTTGGGGTGCTCCTAGGGCAGGGCGCCTGGGTGCACCCGGTGCACAGTAGCAGGAAGCCCCACCTCTGCCGACACAGACCTCGCTCTCCCGGAATCGGGGGACAGACAGAGGGGATCCTGAATGAAAAATACAGAAGTCCTTTTGAAACTATATCTAATTCCTTGGCGGGAACCCAACCTTAAATCAAGGTATATGTTTCCCCAAAAAGAAAAAATAGAAGGAGCACCTCCTGGCCCCTGTTCCCTCCAGGCCACTGTCGATCTTAGCTGATTTCCAGGAGTTTCCAAGAGGTGTCTCTTTCTTCTGTAAGCTTCGGGGCACAGGCACCGTGACGCGAAAAGATTGACTGCCACCGCGGGTGCCAAGGGAGGCTGTCACTTGCCAGCAAAGGCAGGAGGTGTAAACCCATAAAAGTCACAGCACTTCACAGAGTGTTATTAGAGGACAGGATTTGCTGCTGCCAAAACGCCAGCGCCCCGAGCAAAGACTCGATAAATCTGTGACCTTCGTCACCTTGCTTGCCGGGACATGGGTGTCCACCCACGGGTCACTGAGTGAGCAGCAGGGCAGATGACAGGTCTCACCTGACTCCTTTCTGCTGCTGCACCTGCTCGCTGTTCTGCACAGAACACCTGCGCGTGCCCGGAACGCAGGACAAAGCCTGATTTGCGTGGGAAAGACATCACGGGGCTCCTCACCCTGAGGAAGGCAGCCAGTAGCATCAGCCCCTCCATCTACAATCTAGTTTTTAAATTCCCTCAACCCAGGTGGGACTGTGCACTGACATTCTGGGGGAGGTCAGGAGCCACGGAGAGTGGAATGGTGGCGCCAGGTGTGACACCTGTGTCGGGGACAGCTGGCTCATAGCCAAGAAGGCATGCCTGTTTGTCCTGGGCAGCCCGGGCAGGGGTCGATGTGTGACCGCACCCCCGCAGGTGGCCTTTCTAACACGGGAGAGAGCACTCCAGGCGGCCGAGCCATTTCTTGGGTCTGTTGAGAGAAACTGAAACACAGTTCTCTCCGATCTCCTGAACTGCTACAAAGTTTGCTTTCCCAGGCGGAGAAGACTTCTCTTGAGCTCCTCATTCAGCCTGAGGCCAGCAAATCCCACCCGTTCCTGTCATGCTACACAGCGCTCTCCCTGCCCCGTTTCTGCCCTGTGCTGCCAGGAAGCGTCTTTGTGGTCCCTGTCTCTCCACGTAGACCCTAAACCCCACCAGCCCCGCCCAGGCCCCGCTCAGGCCTAGGAGCATAGCAAGGCTCAATAAATGTTTGTTAAATTGAATTATTGAATAACAAGGACTCACCTAATACTAGTGAAACAAATAAAATAAAACCCAGTAAGTAAATAAATAATAACATTGAAAGATGCTAATTCTCTTTCTTGATATGTTTATGAACCGACAGTTTATAGTTTAGATAACATATTCTCTGTTTCAAGCTGGGTAAGTGGGTAACACTCTAACTGAAGCAGATGATGTGTTAAAGACCACAGGGTCCTACAAAGGACCCGCCACCTTCTTTACTCTGGCACCTGCTGGAACGGAGCCTGCTGCCTCTGGATTACCTGAGGATTTTTCTCAGCTATTCACTTAGAACGACTATTGGGGCATTAATAGAACTCAGCTCCACCTTTCTGCTTTCCTGATGCCTTCAGAGACTCGGCTTCTGTATTTGGTGAAAAGAAGTAGCTTTTTGAAGAAACAAGGGAGTGGGGGAGAAAAACAGGGTCAGACCTGGGTTAGGACCTGCTTTGATGCAAACGGTTTTTGTCATAAACCAGGACGGGGGGGGGGGTGGGGGGTATTTCAGCAGCACCGAGACCAGAGACGAATGGCTGTGTGTGTGTGTGTGTGTGTGTGTGTGTGTGTAAGAACTGATCATGGAGAAACCAGTGAAGGGGCTATGGGTGTTGGGGAGGTGACCTCCATGGTGTCGCCTTTGATGTTTATCTATTTAATTGTGATTGGGAGTAAATGAAGAAGCTTTGGCTCAAGAAGCCATTTCCCAAGGAAACCATACCCTAAACCTAAGTTTTGTCTTCGTTTACAAATCCCCATGCCCTGTCATCTGCAGACCTCAAAATAGGGCACTAGGTACAGGAAATATTTAAGCTAATTGTTCAGCTAACTGGGGCCTTGACCTAGCGTATGGCCAAAGGTTTAAGAGCTGAGGAAATATTCAAGTCTTACTTGACCAAGTTTGATTTTACTTTCAGTCCACTAACTCTTCAAAATCTAACAAAGGGATAAAATAATGACTGTCAGAGAAAAAGAGAAAGAGACTCAGTATATCCACAGCAGGGGACAGGTGTCTGCTGTTTGCTACTGGTGACCTCCCGAGTCTCTCCTGTCCCAGGCGGTATCCACTAATAGCATCAATGGCTTCTTAGCGCTGCAAAGGTCCAGTCTCTCCCTAGGAACCTCTGACCAGCTGTTCGTTGGTTCAGAAGGACCCACTCTGGGCTTCCCATTCATTGCTATACTTGAAAATCTGGGTTGTTCCTTCCCATGTGTTCTAGACTCGTCCCTTGGACTTGAAGGGAAATGGCATTCTTCTGAGTGGATGACCCTACTTTCCCCAATTTCCATGGAAACTATCTCCCTAGACCGGTTCAAACCCAGGGCCTCAAAACAGCACCATTCAAATTCAACAGTCGAGACTTCCAGGGTTTTTCAAACTTCTGCTTGAGCATCAGAATCACTTGGGGAGCTTTTTCAAAGTGCAGATCCTGGGGTCTAACTTGGAGCTTCTAATCCAATGGCTTCGAGGGAAGCAGCCTTGGCATCTTTATTTTCGAAAGCTCCGTGTTATACTAAAGCACCCTGAGATTCCAGAGCTGTGGGCTTCGAGACACAGGCCTGGAGGCAAGAGGAGGAAAGCTCAAGGGAGAGGAAGGAAGAGGGAGAGAGAGGACGGAGAAAGCAAGGAAGAAATGGCCACAGGAAGGTCAAAGCAATTAAAGAAATTGTCTGAGAGCAGGAGCATTGGGCTGGGAGGTGCTTCCACCATGAATACCAAGGAGGAGGTTCTGTTTCAGCTTCAGGGGTGTGTGTGTGTGTGTGTGTGTTACACACACACCCAGACACACACAACATGGCCATTTCGGAAAGGTGCTGGGAAAATCAGAGAGAGGCAGGTCCCACGAGCCTGGGATTGTTCCTTCACCTCTGACACTTTTTCCCATTCCCAGCCTGAGCTCCATCACACCCCCCCCCCAGGGGAAGAAGCACAACACAGCTGCTGAAAATTGGTAGTTGCATTTGTGTGCTTGCTCTCATCCCCTACTCCGCTGTCATTACAACAGTATTTCTTCGGGTCACATCTGGCTGGTGGGGTATCAATGACTTGTGGTGGTGGGGGGGAGGGAGTGAAGAAGGAAGGTCACAAAAATACATCAGGGCCATCAGCACAGTAAATTATACCTATTCCCCTCAACCCCACACCCTCCCACCCACGGCCAGGGAAGGTGTTTCCATAGCAACGTAAGGCATGGGTCTGACGCTCACAGGAGGAGGCTCCGTAGCACAGTTCCGCACCCTCACATGTGCGTGGCCCGCAGGCGGAAGGGTGCGTCTGTCCTTGGCTGTCCTGAGGACCCAGCCGGGGCAGGAGGACCAGCAGGGCCACCTGGGGACTCGATCAGCTTTGCTCAATGAAATAAATGTGCCTACTTGTAAAAAGTTCAAGCCCTTCTCTTTGTACACATCACTTAAAGCCCAGTGCTTAGTCAGCCTGGGCCTAAGACATGTTTTTCAAAGTTTCATTTTAGTTTGAGGAAGGGGCGATTTGACCTCGTCTGTCCTTTGGAAAGGTCGCACAACACAGCAGCTCTTTCGAGGCGGGGCCCCAGTTGCGCCATTACTCAGTGAGAGTGAGCATGTCTCCCTAGACTGAGCTCTTCAGTCTGAACTGGATGCTTTTCAGGTTGAATTCTCAGTACCCAGGAGCACCCCTGGGGGAGCTCAGGTGAGTTCCAAGTAGCCGTCTGCAGAGAGGGACAGATTTCATAGCCACACTGGGTTTCAGCGTGTCGACTGCAACATAAAAACTGGGAAAAGACGGTTTTTGAATCAATAGGACACGATGCTCATAAAAGCATTTAGAAGATACAGTGCCCTGTGTCACATCTCTGTGTTGCGACAAAATGTTTCTGATTCCGAGAGGAGTGGACACCCTGGTGGCCCTGGTCCCTGACTGTCTGGTCACCCTGCCTGCCGGGGAGGCACCTGCCGCTCTCTTTCCGGCTTTCGGTGCAGACACTGTCCCCTGCGCGGGCTCTTACACGGTGTCAGGATGGCCGGATACGTTTGACTAGATGCTAGGTGAGATGGTATTTTCAAGAACGCCAACGAGCATCCAAGTGTTGGAGAACAGCACTGGATTCTGGCAAATCATTGCTCATGTTGAAATAGGAGATACTATAAAGAATTACGTTTCCTGGAGTTTTTACAAATAACAGATTTAGCTCTGCCAGAATGGAGACAGCTCAACTGTGGGGTGTCTATTTGCCTGTGGGACAGGCTGTACAAAATCCGCCACTGCAGGGGCTCGAAGTTGGCAACGCAGAATTGGCTGCTGGATAATGGCAGAGGCCCCTTTGAAAGAAGCACTATTTCTAAATATGCATCTCCTAAGCAGCAGAGTGTTTCTTTTGCAGCAACAATGATGGCGATGTATTTGTCTGGACTATTCTAATATGATACGGTAAGATTAATATGAGAAATAAAAATATAACAGCATGCCATCATGCTACACCATTCGATAAAAATGGCTTCTTTTTAGAAGACCAGGCCTGACTTTTCTCTTTAGTCCTAAACATTAATAATCTATCTGTCTTTTGGGGACAGAGGCAAGACAAGGACAAGAGGACACGAGAGCCGATGGTGGGAAGAGGAGCCCACGGGACCCTGGGCCGGGCATGCCCGTGTTTCTCACTAGGAACGGTGTAGGACTCTGAGAGGTGGCATTTCCCTTAGGCTGGTGGGCAGAGAGAGACTCATCGGGGGAACATTTCATGCTTTGTCTCTCAGGGAAGGCCTGGAAGAAATCAAAGGTGTTCATCACGGGGAGGATGAACAGGGAGATGTGGAGGGGAGAGTCCTGAAGCCTCTGGACTCCCCCCGCAGCCCACCGCGAGCTACGTACCCAGTACAGCACGTCTGTCCAGCCCTCCATGGTGATGCACTGGAACACCGTCAGCATGGCGAAGGCGAAATTGTCGAAGTTGGTGATGCCGTGCCTGGGCCCGTCCCACCCGGTTTTGCACACGGTGCCGTTCTGACACTGCCGGCCGTGGCCCGTCTCCAGAGCACAAGGGGAGGGGTCATCTTCTGCTGGAACGTCTCAAATGGCCGGAGGAGGGGAGAAGGCACAGAGGGGAGGGGGAGGTGGGCAGAGAAAAAAGGATGGAGAAGTCAGAGAGGAACGTTGCAGCGTAGGGTTGACGAGGTAGGCAGACCACCACGGCAACGTAACGCAGAACACGCTTTCACTCGTTCCCCGGTGCGCGAATCAGACAGCACACGGAGCAGGTATTCATTTCAGGCTGCTGTCGATTTAGAAAGGACCTCCACCGAAATGTTGTGAAGTTGCATTGTAAGCCCAGTGATTGATTTCAGAGACAGCAGGGCTACTGCGCATTCTATGGTGGCACCTCAGCATCGTGGTCAGATGGCCAATCAAAACCAATGACGATGCAACCACTCTGAGCGGGAACTACCCTGGAACATGAAGGAAGTCCACGTTTCCTTATTTTGGTGGTACTTCCATTGAAATAATAGTTTCCAGTGGGGGCATGTTGACTGGAAAACGATTCCTCACCATCAGCCAGCAGATCCCAGCCGGTGGCACTTTGAGACGCTATGAGGGTCCGTAACATATTACATGATACACCTGCAGGGATGCAAATCCCTTTGTCGTGCAAGCCTTACACAGACGAAGGGTAAAGGGAATTCTGACCACAGGGTGAGGACCAACTGTGGCCGTCTTTTTTTTTTATTCTCACCCGAGGACATTTTTCCATTTTCTGTTCAGATAGAGTGGGAGGGGGGGGAGAGAGAGAGAGAGAGAGAAAGAGAAACATTGACGTGAAAGGGACACATCGAGTGGCTGCCTCCTGCACGACCCAACCAGGGCCGGGGACAAACTGCAACCGAGGTACTCGCCCCTAGCGGGAACCGAACCCAGGTCTCTCTGGACCGCAGGCCGACGCTCCAACCGCTGAGCCAAACCGGCCAGGGCTGGCCGTCTTTCAAGGCCCTGAGCGCGAGCACCGCTGACTGTTTTATGTGGGTCAGGTGGACCCTTGCAGCCCGGCCCTTTGCACACCAGCTTCCTACCTTTCGGAAGAAAGCAATCATTTTCCGAGCCCTACTCCAAACAGGGGCAGTGGAGGCCGGAGAATACGCGGTAGGTGTGGACGGGGCTATTTCGGGAAACGGTTTAGCAGCTGTGGCTACAGACAGTGCCTGGGCTACTTCCAAAAGCTAGGAACAGCTGCGGAAAAAACTGGTCCGTTAAGAGGAGGTTTATCTTTTTGGTGCAGAGATCGTTAGTAAATTGAAATAAGACTTGGTTGGTCTAAGAATTTCCATTATGGTGAAGTATTAGAGAAATACTGAGAAAGTCCTGACCCCAGCTGTGCAAGGTCGTCGTGGGACATTCGCAGAGGTTTGTGAACTTAAGAACAGTGCCTCAAGCTTGTAGAAAGTAAGAGCAATAAACAGGATAGACCTCAGTGTTAACAAACGATCGCCTCCAATAACAGCGAAAATATGGCCCCAGAGAGAGAATGTACTTGCGAGTCTTCATTTAGGGATTTTCATCTGTATCAAAACCATCACGAGTGTCTAGTACTTCTGTATTGAAGACTGCTTGCCGGTCGGGTGGTTTTTCTGTCTGTGCCTTCCAATGCGACAGTTCACAGTAACTCATAACGAAGAGAGGATTCTTCAGAGAACGGCGTTCAACAGCATGGCTGGAACTATATGCTGGATTGTGTCTCCTCAGCCTTTTTTCTTTTCTCCCTCTCTTGGTAGCTGCTTTATGGAAATGCAATGTACATTTCTTACAGTCATGAATGCAAATGCACAGCTCAGTTATTTTTAGTAAGTTTATGTAGCCGTGTAGCCGTCACCACAATTTCAGCACACTCCCACCATCCTCCGCAATTCCGGTGTGCCTGTTCGCAGTCCGCGCCTGCTCCTGGCCCCGCAACCTGGTCTGCACGTCGTCTCCACGGCTTTGCCTTTCCAGGAACTTCACGCACGTTTCCTTGTCCATCCTCGGCCCCCTCGCCGGCGGGCGTCTGGACTGTTTCCGGGTGTAGGCTGTTGTGAACACAGCCGCTTCCTGGCTTCGTCTTGGCCTGTGCTTCCGGTTCCCGTGGGTCTCTGTGCGGTGACCAAGGTGTAGGGGTCTGCATCGCTGGTCCCTGAGCTGTCTGAGAAAAGGACGGTCCACACTGACCCCCAACTCCAGACGCTGGCTCCCAGGAGGGTCCCTTCACGGAGCTGAACTTGAGTCAATTTTCTGTAACTTGAAATTCCAACATCTTTGGAGATCTGGATGTGAGCTTAGACTAGGGAGGCCATCGAAGGAGGGAAACGAAACAATGAATACCAAACCCGAAGAACTAAGGAAAAAATAGATAACAAGTTGCTAAAAATGGAGAGTCGAGAGACGGGCAAACCAAGAACCCAGCGGATGATGACCTCTGCTGGGCTCTCACCCATTCTCACGAAAGCTTTCTAGAATGATGTGCTCGGTCAAGGTCATGAAAGTGCGGGAGTAACATGAGAGACGGGACGAAAAGAGAAGGGAAAAAGAGAGGGGAAATGGCATCTCTTTTTCTCCTGCTCCGCTTTCTAGTGCAATAAAGATGCAACTGATCTTGGCATGGTGGTTGCTAATCGGACAGCTCCCCCTGTATTCTCAAGTCCTGAAATACGCAGAAATAAGGAAACCGTGAAGGATGGCAGAGTGAGTTCTGAACGTCCTCCAGGAAGGAAAACATATTCTGGGGTTTCACAAATATACGTCGAAAAGAAAATAGCATGAAGGGTAAGTGATCTTGTTACTAAAAGAGAAAGGGTTGGGATTCAGAAAGATTGTCTAAGGCTCAAGGGCCACTCTGTGGGTTTAAATCTGTCTTCAACAACAGTAAAAAAAGATATGAGAACAATTAAGAAGCAGTGATGACCTGGTAAAAATAGGTATCTATAAAAAGCAGTAAAGGGAACACTTGAAAAATGTGAACACACACAAATCAGCAGGTCCCTGTGACATGCCCCGGAGGCCGAGGGAAATGAGCTCCAACTGGAAAATGCGCTGTTTTTCCTCTGTGGGGTCACGAAGTCCCAGGGCGGGGAAGCAGGAACATGAAGGGGGAAGGAGAAACAAAGAGATGTGGGTGGCGGGAGATGGAGTCGTTCTAGAAAGCCCAAATTAAGTTCGCAGCAAAATAACGGAGGCCGGTTGGGGAGAGATTTTGGAAATGCGGTCAATACCAACGAGAGCGTGAAGTCCTGGGAGGGTGCCAGTCAGGGGTTCGAAGGAGAGATACCAGAGACAAAATCAATTACTGTTTTAGGACCCAATTTTGAGGAGTGAATAGAATGGAAGCGATTTCATTCCGAGGCTTTAGCCAACCCATTCTTTGCCAGTCTCAGGAGTAATTACTGTGCTTGGGCGAGCCATTCAGAGTGCCCTGGCTCGGCGCTCCATCAAGCAGATGGGACACCAGAAACAAAAGGTACCAGCCTGTGGGGATGTACCTGCGGGGGAGCCAGGAGGGCGCCTTCCAGACACCTCAGGGACTGGGGAAACAGTGCCTCCCCCAGGCCACCTCCCCAGGGCACTGGAGGACACCCTAGAGGCAGGAAAGTCGTCCACCTGGCCAGCTCTAGAGCATTCTTTATAGATTTTTCTAGGAAACAAGGCTCAAAATCCAATGTATTCTAAACTTGACAAGCACATAAAATTCAGTCTGAAAAATAATCTCAATGTATAACAAGGACTGGATGCCAATTCCATGAAAAACTCTTACAAGGGCTCACACACATTTTCGTATAATCTCAGTTTTCAGAAAATAGGGTAACCCAATCCAAAGTCTGAAATCTCAACAGGAAACACACCCTTTCCAAAGGTGGTACGGAGCCCTCCGAAACACAAATTGGTTTCCAAGGCGGCAGGGTACGGTTTTCCACTCTGGCTGCATCGAGTGTGTCCACATCCTCGCACATTCTCCCGCCTCAGCACGATAGCCGCCGCGTGGGTGGGAGGGGCCTGATGACAGCTGTGTCACGTCCCGTCGGGAACGATGGAATGGGTCCCTGGACTGTCACCAGACGTCAGATGGCAGGTTCAGAAAGAGGAGGTACGAGAGGTCTGACTGCAGTATTGGGGAACAATGGCTCCTGCAGCCACTTGCCTTGTGCCTCTTCCCAGCCAGGCTGCACACCGACAGCGGGGTCACCGTCCCGGAGGACCTGGCCTGGCTCCCCTCTTCGGAGCACTTCTCTTGGGGTCTGCTCTCTGACCACCTGGCTCCAGGGCTGATGGTCACTTATGTGATGAGTGCCACCTTCCCTCCTGAACTTGTGGGGTGAAGGTAAAACCCACCATGTAAATAATCTGATGCGTCTTCTGGTGGGAAGTGGGCAGCGTCTCACCCTGGGTACTTTTCCTGGTCCTGTTTACTGTCAAGAGTGGACCATAACGTGGCCCTGAATTGGCCACGGCACTTGGTGAGGTTGCTCGGGTTTTTACCCTAGAAGCAGGGAGGCCCTGAAACTGAGCATCCCCGAGGGGCTGTCTCACCGACTGTCCAGCTGTGGCCTGGGGCAGAGCCCCAGCCTGTCTCTCCCTTGTCGACCACGCCCACCACTGCCTGGCCATGTGGGGCCGCAGAGGCCTCAACAAAGCCCAGTGGCTTCCCACCAGCGTTCGGGGTTGCCTCCTAGCACAGACCCTTGGAAGACCCTGCCATCGGTGAAAACACAGTTTTGCTATTTTCCCAACAGGACAATAGAAACCGTGTGCAGTTTGGGGAACCGTGCCCATTAGCTACGAGGTGCACCGACACTGGGTTTCAGGGCGGGACTGCCACCTTTGGCTCTGTGGCAGGACTTCACCACTCCACTCTCCTCCATTTGGCACGATGTTGGTGAGAGCCCACTGTCCCCCACTGATGACTGATGGGGGCCTTTCAGATTCGACATCCAGTGACTGCCTGAGAAGTCTGGGTCAAAGGGTCATTGACCCCTTCAGTGCACCTTAGGCAGGACTCAGGACGAGCCCTAACGAAGCCACACGGTTCATACAGATATACTGGCTTGGGGCCAGCTCCCGATCGAACTGAACGTGAGCAGGGGTTTGAATGCAAGGGGAACATATTACTCATTGCCTTACTTGAGATTCCTTTAAGCAAGGCTGGAACCTCAGAACTTTAGCTAAAGGCAAGACCTGTTTGTTCCAGTATTAAAGAGCTTCTTTCTTTTTTTTTTTTTAACAGGATAGTTTATTTTATACAATTATGATCCAAGTAACTTGGAAATTCTCTCGAGCGTGAAAAGGAATGGTCTCCTATTAAACACTCTCCAGCAAAAAAGTAAACACGATTGTGTGAGCCTGTGATGTGGGGTTTATAGCTTTTTGTTTGTTTAGGGACTGTGGCCATGTGGCCATGACCTTGCCAGTGCTCAGTGTATCCAGGTCAGGCCATCCATTCTGGTCCCTGAATACGAATGATCCTTTTTACTCCTTGTTGTAAGATGATGTCCTTCCTCGGCCCTACAGCAAGAAGGGTCACATTGAATGCAATTCCTGGGTTGAACAGAAGTGAGAAGCAGTAGATGGACGCACGTGAGGGACCCTTCAATGCTTCAGACACGCCCCCTTTCTCCACCACGGCACCAACACCAAGGTGAAAGATGTTTAGAAAAAAATCTTGGGAAGTTTGACACTAGTAACCCCTTGGGGGTGTGTGTGTATTTTTTAAACACATTTTTATGTTAAACTACTTTATATGTGTCTTTAAAGCCTTGTCAATTTCTGTTGAAATGTTATTTATTTTTTTAGTCCTCACCAGAGGATATTTTTCTATTTATCTTCAGATAGAGTGGGGGGTGGGAGGGGAGAGAGAGAGGGAGAGAGATAGAAACATCAGTGTGAGAGGGACACATCAATTGGTTGCCACCCGCACGACCCCAATCGGGGCCAGGGATGAATCGCACCCGAGCTACGTGCCCTTGACCAGAATCAAACCTGCCGCTCTGGTCCGTGGGCTGACGCCCTACCGCTGAGCCAAACCGGCCAGGGCTGTTTAAATGTTTTTGTAAAGGTCACGCTGAGATTTGAGTAATTTGAGACAGCAGCTTGTAGCATACTCTGCAAGCCAGAACTTCAGATCTACTCAAGGAAGTGCTTCATGAGCCAGCACTGTTGTTAAATGTATCAATTTAAGGAAGGAACCTGGAGAGTGAAGTCTCAAAAGGGAAGGACTGCACAGTCCTGAGGCAGAGCGAAACCTTCCCCTGGAGGAGCAGAGTTTCCCCGCGGGTCCCACACCAGCCGGCTCCTCCCAGCACGAGCCAGGGGCCAGGCTTCTGCCCAGGGACGGAGAAGCAGAGAACACGAAGAGCAGAGAAGCCAGGGTCAGCCCCGAGGACGCAAAGCTCCTAGCCTGCTGGTTACAGGCAAAGCTGCCCTCCGGGACGGGCTGTGATGGCACGAAACGCTGAAGAGCCGATAGAGCAGGGATCTCCAGTCCTCGGGTTAGTTCTGATTCTCCAAACATTCAAGGTGGCCCTGGCCGGTTTGGCTCAGCGGTTAGAGCGTCGGCCCGTGGACCAGAGAGACCCGGTCCGGTTCCTGCTAAGGGCATGTACCTCGGTTGCTGTTTGTCCCCAGCCACGCTTGGGGTTGTGTGGGTGGCAACCACTCGATGTGTCGCTCTCACATCGATGTTTCTCTCTCTCTCTTCCTCCCTCTCTCCCTCCCGCTCTATCTAAAGATAAATGCAAAAATGTCCTCGGGTGAGGATTAAAACAAACAAACAAACAAACAAACAAACAAACAAAAACATTCAAGGTTGGCTAAGAGGTGTTTCTCAAATTGCACAGCTCATTTAAACAGTGTTTAGTAATGCTGGACAAAACTTGCATTTAGCTGTTTTTGGGTTTTTTTTAATCCTCACCCGAGGACATTTTTTCATTTTTTTGTTCAGATAGAGTGGGAGGGGGGGAGAGAGGAGGAGGGAGAGGAGGAGGAGGAGGAGGAGGAGGAGGAGGAGGAGGAGGAGGAGAGGAGTAGGAGGAGGAGAAGAAGAAGAAGAAGAAGAAGAAGAAGAAGAAGAAGAAGAAGAAAGAGAGAGAGAGAGAAACATCGACGTGAAAGGGACACATCGAGTGGCTGCCACCCACACAACCCAACCAGGGCCGGGGAAAAACCGCAACCGAGGTACGCGCCCTTAGCGGGAACCAAACCCGGGTCTCTCGACCGCAGGCCAACGCTCCAACCGCTGAGCCAAACCGGCCAGGGCACATTTAGCTATTTCAACAGAGATCTATTTCCATACAAACGAGAGTTACCAAGAGAAAAAGACCAGTCTCTGCCTGCCCCCTAACCACAGTATGGAGACACGAGCGCTGAATGGAGGGCCTTCCCGGGCCCCGCTGGTCAGGGGCAGCGGGGTCCCCGTGAACGGAAGGCAGTGACGACACAGTGGGGCTGGCCTGTCGGCTCCTTCCCTCACCTGCTATCCCCTCCTGGTTGTAGCAGGTCTTGTGCATCTTCCCCATGAAGAGCTCCAGGCCAATGATGGCGTAGATGATGATGACGAACAGCACCAGCAGGGCGATATGCAGCAGGGGGACCATGGCCTTGATGATGGAGTTCAGAACCACCTGGAGACCTACAAGGACAAACCACACAGTGGCCATGATGAGAACCCCAGCTCCCATGTGTCGAACCACATGCTGTCCTGGATGCAGGCTGACACGGTCGCACGCCATCTCCTCAGCACCTGTACCGGTGGTGTACCGCGAGCCCCTTCTTAGGGGAAGGAACTGACAGAGCAGGAACCTACATCTGGGTTGGCCTGACTCCAAACCTCTCTGGAGGTACATCCAAATGAAAGGCCGGGCAGGGCTGTATTTCCAAGGGGAAGAACATGTTTCACCCAGAACTATCCAGCTTTCTAAAACCCCTTCTTCTTCTTCTTCTCCTAGAGCAGCGTCTCGCTACCAGAGGGGCTCACGTTGACCAGAGGCGGCCGTGCAAGCACTTTGTGATCACGCCAGAGCCTACGGCTGGCCCGGCTGCTCTGAAACAGGGGAGCCTCGGGGTACCCATCAAGGGGGTGAGTCTGCCTTTGCCGAAACTGACCCCCCCCCCCCCGGGACACATCTGGGTGATGAGACCTCCGTGGTGCAGGAAATAGCTCTGAGAACGCCTTCTCTGGACTGTATGGACAGACCTCTCCCCCTCCAGTTTGTGACCAGGCCTCTCTCCCTCGGGACCTGGGTCTGAAGAACGTTGTAGCCCTCCATTCAAACACCCCGTCGAAGGACGTCTGTGTTCAACGGGCATGCAATTTCAGTTTTAGAAGATGAAGAAGTTGTAGAGATGGACGGTGGTGGTGATGGCCCCACAATGTGAATGAACTTAGTGCCACTGAACCGTATCCTTACAAATGGTTAAAATGGTAAATTATCTATATGTAGGTAGATAGACAGATATTTCCACAATAAAAAAATTTAAAGTGCCTAGATCCTTTCGAGAAAAAAAAGTAAGTGAAAAACTCTGTTCAGTACATGGTCTTGTCAGTGCACACCAAAGGACTGTAAGTTTGTACAGTTGGCTTATGGGGAGAAGGACCCCCTTACTTATAAGTTCAGCCATAAATAACACACCAAGAACCCGCCTCATTGAAAGGGGACGTTGCAAGTTTTCACTTGCAAATGCCAAGGCGGTCACTGGCCAGTCAGCTCAGATTGCCCCAGTCCCAGGAAAGCTTTCTGTTGGCAGTGAGCACACCGTCTTCACGCCCCAGAACAGCTGTGGGGGAAGGGCAGGCGCTCCCTCCTTATATCTAAGTCAGCTGTGCAGGAAATCTTGCGGGCCACTCTGGCACACGTACGGGACCCCACCTCTGGGTCACACCTCAGAGGGCACTGCCGTGTCTGAGACCCACCCACCATGGGCTTCTCTAAGTACGGGGAGCTTCACCCCCGTGTCCACCCCCTCCCTGCTCTCTGGCAAACAAAGGCTGGGTCACCGGCTCCCCAGACCGCAGGGCGGTCGCGGGCACTTGGTGATCCGGTGGAGAGGGCTTCACAAGGGTAGGTAGAAGAATTCCCCCGGCCATAGCCGAGCTGGGAGAGAAAAAATATAGAGAAGAGAAGAGCTGGAACCACGTTACCTGTGAATTAAGGAGTGTTTTGCAGCCTCCTCTTAAACGAGATGTTTTCAGATCCCAATGATTCCATTAATTAGCATGTTGTACACACAGCGGTAAAGTACGTGAAGCCAGAAGTTGAAAACTGAACTGCAAAACGGCGTTCAGAGGTGTCTGCTGCAGGGAGAGCGCTCCACGTTCTACTCCCAGAGGGGAGGGCACCCCTGCGGGCTACAGGCCCAGGGGCCTTTGTTTTCAGGCCTGCAGGGCCACAGCCTCAGATGGCAGGAAAGTAGTGGGAGACACAGGATGGGAACTGTCCCCTGTGCCGCAGCCGGGGCTCTGCTCTTAGGTAAACCAAGACCCTTCTCAGGCCCCCTAAGGCCCTGGAGGGCCCGGCCGCCCACTTCTCCACCCACTTCCATCCCCTGTCCCTTACTCTTTGGACTCCCAGTTAAACAGCTTTTCTTTTAACTCAAACACGCCATACTTCCATCCACTACCAGCCGTCACAAATGCGGTCCCTCAGCTAGAACGCTTTTCCGTAATTCCCTCCTACCTCCCCTTTGCCTCTCAGCCCAAACCCCTCTCCCCAGGGACCCTTCCCCAAGCACCCGGACCAGGGACGTTTCCTTTCTTGTATGTCTTCTTGGAACCCGCTCCTGTTCTCTGGAGCACGCCTCTCAGTTAGAATCACACGCTCATGAAGTCATTTTGTGTCTGTTTTTTTTTTTTTTTATCCTCACCCGAGGATATTTTTCCATTTTTTGTACAGACAGAGTGGGAGGGAGAGAGAGGAAGGGAGAGAGAGAGAAACATCGACGTGAAGGGACACATCGAGTGACTGCCACCCGCACGACCAACCAGGGCCGGGGACAAACTGCAACCGAAGTACGTGCCCTTAGCGGGAACCGAACCCGGGTCTCTCCGGACCGCAGGCCGATGCTCTAACCGCTGAGCCAAACTGGCCAGGGCTTGTTGTTGTTTTTTTTTTAACATTTTCATCTGTCTCTCACTTTGGGCTGCGTTTTGTGCAGACGGACCTGTCCCTTCTTTGCACCACCTGGAGGCTGTGTGCAGGGAGCCTGGAGGCTGTGTGCAGGGAGCCTGGAGGCTGTGTGCAGGGAGCCTGGAGGCTGTGTGCAGGGAGCCTGGAGGCTGTGTGCAGGGGGCCTGGAGGCTGTGTGCAGGGGGCCTGGAGGCTGTGTGCAGGGGGCCTGGAGGCTGTGTGCAGGGGGCCTGGAGGCTGTGTGCAGGGGGCCTGGAGGCTGTGTGCAGGGGGCCTGGAGGCTGTGTGCAGGGGGCCTGGAGGCTGTGTGCAGGGTGCCTGGAGGCTGTGTGCAGGGGGCCTGGAGGCTGTGTGCAGGGGGCCTGGAGGCTGTGTGCAGGGGGCCTGGAGGCTGTGTGCAGGGAGCCTGGAGGCTGTGTGCAGGGAGCCTGGAGGCTGTGTGCAGGGAGCCTGGAGGCTGTGTGCAGGGAGCCTGGAGGCTGTGTGCAGGGAGCCTGGAGGCTGTGTGCAGGGGGCCTGGAGGCTGTGTGCAGGGGGCCTGGAGGCTGTGTGCAGGGAGCCTGGAGGCTGTGTGCAGGGAGCCTGGAGGCTCTGTGCAGGGAGCCTGGAGGCTGTGTGCAGGGAGCCTGGAGGCTGTGTGCAGGGAGCCTGGAGGCTGTGTGCAGGGAGCCTGGAGGCTCTGTGCAGGGAGCCTGGAGGCTCTGTGCAGGGAGCCTGGAGGCTCTGTGCAGGGAGCCTGGAGGCTGTGTGCAGGGAGCCTGGAGGCTCTGTGCAGGGGGCCTGGAGGCTCTGTGCAGGGGGCCTGGAGGCTGTGTGCAGGGTGCCTGGAGGCTGTGTGCAGGGTGCCTGGAGGCTGTGTGCAGGGGGCCTGGAGGCTGTGTGCAGGGAGCCTGGAGGCTCTGTGCAGGGAGCCTGGAGGCTGTGTGCAGGGAGCCTGGAGGCTGTGTGCAGGGAGCCTGGAGGCTCTGTGCAGGGAGCCTGGAGGCTGTGTGCAGGGAGCCTGGAGGCTGTGTGCAGGGAGCCTGGAGGCTGTGTGCAGGGAGCCTGGAGGCTGTGTGCAGGGGGCCTGGAGGCTGTGTGCAGGGGGCCTGGAGGCTGTGTGCAGGGGGCCTGGAGGCTGTGTGCAGGGGGCCTGGAGGCTGTGTGCAGGGAGCCTGGAGGCTGTGTGCAGGGAGCCTGGAGGCTGTGTGCAGGGAGCCTGGAGGCTGTGTGCAGGGAGCCTGGAGGCTCTGTGCAGGGGGCCTGGAGGCTGTGTGCAGGGGGCCTGGAGGCTGTGTGCAGGGGGCCTGGAGGCTGTGTGCAGGGGGCCTGGAGGCTGTGTGCAGGGGGCCTGGAGGCTGTGTGCAGGGAGCCTGGAGGCTGTGTGCAGGGGGCCTGGAGGCTGTGTGCAGGGCGCCTGGAGGCTGTGTGCAGGGAGCCTGGAGGCTCTGTGCAGGGAGCCTGGAGGCTCTGTGCAGGGGGCCTGGAGGCTGTGTGCAGGGAGCCTGGAGGCTGGAGGCTCTGTGCAGGGAGCCTGGAGGCTCTGTGCAGGGGGCCTGGAGGCTCTGTGCAGGGGGCCTGGAGGCTCTGTGCAGGGGGCCTGGAGGCTCTGTGCAGGGAGCCTGGAGGCTGTGTGCAGGGAGCCTGGAGGCTGTGTGCAGGGAGCCTGGAGGCTGTGTGCAGGGAGCCTGGAGGCTGTGTGCAGGGAGCCTGGAGGCTGTGTGCAGGGAGCCTGGAGGCTCTGTGCAGGGAGCCTGGAGGCTCTGTGCAGGGAGCCTGGAGGCTCTGTGCAGGGGGCCTGGAGACTTTGTGCAGGGGGCCTGGAGGCTGTGTGCAGGGGGCCTGGAGGCTGTGTGCAGGGGGCCTGGAGGCTGTGTGCAGGGAGCCTGGAGGCTGTGTGCAGGGAGCCTGGAGGCTGTGTGCAGGGGGCCTGGAGGCTCTGTGCAGGGGGCCTGGAGGCTCTGTGCAGGGGGCCTGGAGGCTCTGTGCAGGGAGCCTGGAGGCTCTGTGCAGGGAGCCTGGAGGCTCTGTGCAGGGAGCCTGGAGGCTCTGTGCAGGGAGCCTGGAGGCTGTGTGCAGGGAGCCTGGAGGCTGTGTGCAGGGAGTCTGCGGACAGGCAAGGATGTGGATGGCTGGGAGTTTTCAGGGTTCCGCAGACCCAGGCAGAGACTACTGAGAGGTCCACAAAGAGTCCAAAAGGAAATCAGAGCAGCCTGGGGGCTTCCTTTCAGCCCAAGGATGCCACCGAGTTCCTAAAGGATGCTGGTCCCCTGTCTGGTCTCTGTTGGCGGCCACCTCGCCCACCTGAGCGCGCAGGTCAGCAGACGGATCCCCCAGACTCCTCCTTCCATCAGTGACAAGTCCTGCCGGTTTGGTTCTGAATATTTCAGACAAGTTAAATTATTTCTACTATATAAATAACATGCTAAATATAGAGAAAGTGGAAAATACTTATTATAGAGAAGCTAGAAAACACAGGGAAGCAAAAAGGAGAAAGAAATTGCCCATTATCTCACCACCCAGACAT